TCAAGCAAGATGCCTGCGACGAATACTACATATACCTCCCGCCTTTCTTACGCGAGTACCGAATAGCAAAGTTCTGGAACAAGCTGGCCAAAAGCAGTACAGCGCGCAACTTCTTCAACAACAAATACTACTATTTGGCAAAATTGGCCGGGCTCCAGATACAGACTTTCTTCGGCAACTTACTTTTCAGCCCGGCACTGTTCTTTCAGCCGTGGATGCATACCCGAGGAGGAGAGGCAGGCCCAAACACGAATGGGCGAAATGCCTACACAAGGCTTTGGTTGCTCATCTTGGCCCAGAACATACTTGGGCGCAGCGCCTGCAGGACCCCATCGAGTGGCGAAGTATTTCTGAACACATTGCACACCATGATGATGAACCCGATAGCCAGTAGCGTTCTGTAGGTTTTTTTGTTTACATACCTTGCATGTGATGCCCGGTGCCTTGACGTCCTTTCACGCGCTCCGGCGTATGGCATGAGTGAGTGAGTGAATACTAAAAGTCGCCTTTGAGTGACCCTCCCGAGGTCCAACGGCGAACAGTTGTCTTCCCTGCTCCATGGAGGTTCTACTGCTGCTAGCGTGATGTGCGATCCATCTTTCACACTTTCAGCTTTTCGTTCGAAAGTTCTCCTTGCAGCGCAAGGCCAGTGCCAGGGCCCCCCATCAAGCAGTGAACGCTGCCTTGGGCAGCCCTCTGGCCAGTGTGACCACTACCTGTAGGGCGGATAAACAGACCGCCTCTCTGATGGCTACCGCAATCCACTTGTTCCCCACCAGACAGGTTGGGGTTGTTAGATTTCAAGAACAAGCCCTCCAGCCAACCCCACCCTGCATACCGCGGCCACCACACCCCCAAAATGTCCCGATGGTCCCCGAGTCCTGGGTGTCCCGCATCGCGCCCGGCCAACCCTACCCTGCATACCGCGGCCGCCAAACCCCAAATTGTCCCGATGATCCCCGGGTCCCGGGTGACCCGCGCCCTCGACGAGCACGACAGAAAACAACATTACAGGACAGAACATGACAGAACGGAACGGAGCATGACAGAACAGGACACAAGAAAACACATCAATAACATGACAAGGTAAATAATAACAAAAACCACATGACATACCGTAACAGAGCGTGACAGAAACAACGACGACACAACACAACATTACAAAACACAGCCGACAATGATGCAGCACACCTTGGCAAACCATCTCATATCGAGACAAGTCATCACAGAGAGATCATAACACGAACGCGCAACATAGCTAAGACGAACACGACAAAACACAACACAACACAACACAACACAACACAACATGACATCACGGAACACGAACATCACAGACCATGGCAGAACATAACCTAGCAATGCCATGACAAAGTGTATCATGGCATAACATCACATAACATACAAAAGCAAAGCATGACAGGACAGAAGACGGCATACCACAACACTGCAGAACATGACCGAACACAGCATCGTACACCTTGACTGAACTGGTCATATTATAACACAGCATCACGTAACATATCATAGCACGAGAACAGAGCACAGCGACGACATGCACGACACAACAAAACATGCAACAACATAACATGGCCTAACAAGACACGGGCATGACAGAACATGACATACAAGCACACGACAATGTCATGGCACCATAGTTCAAAACAGGACATCGCAGAACATACCAGCGCAAAACATGACAGGACAGAAGACGACGTAACACAACTCAGCAGAACATAACCGAACAAAGCATAAGACACCTTCGAAAACAACATATCATATCATGACACAGCAACACAGACCATATCACACCACAACCGCAGAGCATCGCGACACATACTAGCAAAACGTCTCATAATATACTATACAGAGCCGAGCCGGCAACAAACACGATATCAAAGAGCGTGCCAACGCAGAACATGACAACACAGAAGACGACATACAACATCACGGAATAACAGAGCCGACCGTAACGTAATACACCGTGACATACCATATCATACAATGGCACAACACCAGAAAACATGTCATAACACGACGACGAATAAGACATTAAACATAATGACACAACATAACATGACAAAACAGATCACGAGCATGACTGGACATGACAGAGCACAACATAGCAGTGCCATGGCGAAGTCAAACACGGCATAGCATCACACATAATACCATAGCAGAAAATAACGGAACAGAAGGCGGCATGACACAACACAACACAACATTGCCGATCATAACATAACACATCCTCATCTCATGACAGATCACCACATAACATATCACAAGACGACAGCAAAACATAGCGACACATACTAACAGCACATATCATAATACACGACTTGCCAAGTACTATTTGTGTTCGACCATCGGCTGCCAAGTACTATTTGTGTTCGACCATCGGCATTCTCGTCCGTCGTGCCGCGGACGACCGACTAGGATGCAAAAGTGCCCGGATGCGGAGTCGCGAGCCTTCGTGAACTCCTTGGGATGGCTGGCCAGCGAAGCAAGAACGATAGCGTTGGATAAGGATTCCCAGGGCCACACTGCGCCAAAGCGAGAACACATACAATGGAGCATCGCGTTGGCATCGGTATTCGGAGTGATTGCGCTTCAAGTGGGTCCAAATTGGAGTGATTTCTTGGCCTATTTCTACGAATGGGACGGAGTAGTTATCACACCGTTTTAAAGTTAGGTTATGAAACTGTTACGGGGTACGAACCCATCGGATTCGGACCACTCCCTAAACAAAAAGCCAGTCGCTAAGATTATACGGAGGGGTCGGGGGTGTCCGAACCTTGACGTCTTCTGGCCACAACCAACAAACAAATAAAATATACAAGAGCATAACATGACATAACAGAAGACCAGAGAGCACAGCATAGCAGAACATAACCGATCATAATAGCACATTTTGGCGTGCCAGCATCACAGACCATACCATAGCACGACAGCAAAGCACAGCGAAACACACTAGCAGCACATATCACAAAATACTGTGTTGAGCCGATCTGTCAACAGCATCACGGAACAAAGCATACTATAACATAACCTGGCGAACCACATCCTGTCATAACACAGTGCCACATAGCATATCACACCAGCTGCTACTAGTGTATATATATGTAGATTTGTAAATAATATGCTACTACGATATATCTAAATGATCGATCACACGAATATCATATATCTGCTGCATCATATCTGTTTCGAGATTGATGTGGTGGACAAACGCGTTCCACTACACGCAAAGTAACGGCTCGCAGAGAGCCTCGACCCGCTACGAAGAACTGACGATGAAGTCCGTACGAGGAAGACGTGCTTTTGCGTTCGGACGCTTGCGAGTATCGGCACTGCTTGCGAGTAGCAGCACGCGCTCGGTGCTTTGAGCGGGCTCCCAAACGGGGGGCGAGGGCGGGCCGGGGCCTGGGGCCTGGGGCTTGGGCCGCTAAGGCCGGGGCCGAGGCGGGGGCTGGGGGCCGAGGCCCGGTGAAGTCGGGCCTGTCCCTCTACAGAGACCATTCAAAAATCGTGAAAAATAGTACGGGGATTATTTTCTGACTGAATTTGGATATTCCCCAATCAGAGCTTGCTTCTGTAGGGGTCCTAGCGGATATAAAGCTGAGGTGAGGTGGGCGGCCGATTCCGGTGGCCGGGGCCGGGTGCCCGGGTGCCCGGGGGTGCCCGGGTGGCCGATTTCGGTGGCCGGGCCCGGGTGCCCGGGTGCCCGGGGGTGCCCAGGGGTGCCCGGGTGCCCGGGGGGGCCCAATAGCCCAATAGCCCAGTAGCCCTATAGCCCTATAGCCGTATAGCCCTGTAGCCCTATAGCCTTATATCCCTATAGCCCAAATAGCCTTATATCCCTATAGCCCTATAGCCCCATAGCCCATATAGCTCTATAGCCCTATAGCCCTATGGCCCTATAGGTCACAGTCCTATAGCTCTATAGCCCGATAGCCCTAGCCCTATAGCCAGCCGTATAGCCTTATAGCCCAATAGCCCAATAGCCCTAACAAAAATCTGATTGGGTTTTTTCTCCGGTATCATGTTTTATAAAATGTTGGGGGTATCTTTCATTTGTCGCCCAAAATCCCCCTGTAGGGGGACGGGCCCGACTTGAGGCCAGGGCCGGGGCCCGCGACCGGGGTCCAGGGCCCGGGCCGGGGCCCGGGCTCGGGCCGGAGCTCCCGAGCCCAGCGACCCACCAGCATGCTCGACAGACGGACACGACGCAGGCGTTCCAGTCAACGCACCCCACCCCCCCCCATCATCCTACTCCTGCTCTCTCGAGGTAGAGCTCACAAGCTGTTCGAACAGGACGAGTTCGCACTGAACTTCCCCAAGCGCCCCGGGGCGGCACAGGACGATGTGGCACCAGATGGATATGAGGGTCTCTTGTCCTGTCTTGTCTCATCCTGCTCGTCCCAGGATCCCACCGCATCCTGGAAACACCTAAAACCTCACCCCAAGCACCCGGAACACGCAACGAGTCATCCAAAACCACGTCGACCATCGACTTCCCCCTCCTCCTCCTCCTCCTCCTCCTCCTCCTCCTCCTCCTCCTCCTCCTCTTCCTCCTCCTCTTCCTCCTCCTCCTCCTCCTTCTCCGTCCTCGGCGGCGCGCCCAGGGGGAAGTGAGATGGGGCTGGCCAGGGCGTTTCAGAAGCCCGCTGGCATCCTCAGAAGCCGTCTCTGTCTTCGGAGAAGGCTTAGAACTGTTCTCAGACGGCCCGAAGACTTCCGAGACTTCTCACACTGCCCGCCCCCTCTGCATTCCCCTCTGGGCTCGCCGCCAACTTCCCCTCATCTCCTCCTCCTGCTGCTGCTCCTGCTCCTGCTCCTGCTGCTGCTGCTGCTGCTCCTGCTCTGGCTCCTCCTCCTCCTCCTCCTCCTCCTCCTCCTCCTCCTCCTCCTCCTCCTCCTCCTCCTCCTCCTCCTCCTCCTCCCCCTCGTCCGCGTCCTCATCCTCCGCTGGCGGCGACGACGACGACGACGGCGCAAGCCTTGGACAGGCTCTCGGCCGCGGGAGCGGGCTCCAGCTCGTCCTCCCACGGGGCCATGCAGGCGGAGGTGGGGGAGAAACGGAAGGGGGCGAGGGGGGGGACAGTAGTGGAGGGGGGGGAGGGATAGGGATGAAGGAGGGATACGAGAACGCCAAAGCCTCTCCACTCACACTCTCAGATTCTCTCAGTATCCCGTCTCCTTCTCCTCCCGTATCTCAGTATCCCCGTCTCTGCGCTGTGTGAGCGGAACCATGATGAAGCCAATGCTGAGTATGTTGGTTATGGTGGTGAGACAAGTCAAGTCAAGTACGCCTTGCACCAGACGGTGCGTGAGCAAGGGTAACGTATAGGAAATAACCACCAAATGCAGCCACAATGCCTTCAGCTTCCGGCCCAAGCCTCCACCGCGCGCTCCCACGCTCTAACTCGAGCTGCACCACCGTCTTGGTGGAAGTAGGCAGCGAGTCGCTCGCGGGAGCCCGCAACCATGAGACAATTATTCCAAACTAGATGGCCCCATGTCTGCCTCGGTCTGCCCCGCTTTCTCGGGCCGGCGACCCTACGCAGCACCAGGGTGCCCGGTTCAAACACCGAGCGTCGCACAGGGTCTTGGCCAGGTCGGCGCGCTAATTGGCCCATGAATATCATCTGCCGTCTCGCGAAGTCGTCGCTGAGCTTCGTCTGGCCAGCGACCCCAAGCACGGTGGCGTTCGACACTCTACTGATGCATGCCGGAGGCACTCTGCAAATCTTTCTGATACAGCGATTTTGGAAGCCGTCCAAACGTCGACGTTCGGCCTGGTTTAAACACGCCGTGAAGAGGGCGTACACTAATTTGGACACGACGCACACGTTGAAGATGTGGAGCTTGCGATTCCTCGTCAACGAAGCGTGAGACCAAATCGCGTGTAGCATTCTGAAGTCTTGCATGGCTGCTCCGATTCTGCGGGACAATTCCGACGCGCATCTTCCGTCGGCAGAGATCGACGTGCCCAAGTAGGCGATGGAATGCTTATTGGCGAGAGGAGCGCCAGCGTTGTCCGAGATGCCGTCGTTTGTGCGCACCTTCATCAGCTCCACCTTCTTCCAGTTAAATTGCAAACCGTGCGTGCCCCAAACTCCTCCACATGCGTCATCAGCTCCTGCGCGGCCTCCGCGCTGGCGCCGAGCAGCAGCGTGTCATCCGCGTAGACAAGATCTCGGACCAGCTCTTCCGGGTTGGCCTCGTCTTTGGCGAAGCTCTCTGTGAGCATCGTGTAGAAGCGTAGTCCCAACAACTGTAAGTAGGAACGGTGGCAATGGGCATCCTTGGCACATTCCGTACTCTTGTTTTCTCTCTTGTGGCGTTGCGCCGAAGTCGGTAACCTCGAAAACGCGGTTCCCGTAGATAGCAGCAACCATGTTTACAAAACGATTAGGGCATCCAAATCTTCGAAGCGACATGGCCAGCGCCTGAGGCGACACAGAATCGAAGGCACTTGCCAAATCCAGCGCCAAGAACAATGTCTTCCCATCGCGAGCGGCCCATTTCCCTTCCAACACCCGCCGGGCGATGGATATGGCGTCAGCAACGCCGCAATTCGATCGGAACCCGAACTGCGTCTCCCAAATGCGCTGCTCGGCACCGGCGTCCTTCATCCTCTGCAGCAGGACGACCGCGAACATCTTGCACCCTATGGGGAGAAGGCATATTGGGCGATAGTTCTTGCTGTCCGCGGGGCCCCCCTTCTTGTCGACGTGTTTCACCTTTGCCTTGCGCCAAGCATCAAGGGCGCGCCCCGTCTCCCAAATCGCGCTGCAGAAGCGAGTGGCCCACTCGAGCGCAGGGGTGCCTTCTCCGGAGGCCGCTCTCCAGAACTCCGGGGGTAAGTTGTCCAAGCCTCCTGCTCTGCCTCTCGTTATTTTGCCCGCTGCTTTCCTGACTTCTTCCTGCGCGATCGGGTCGAGGACGATCGGCAGCGCGCCGCCGTGCAGATTATCAATTGGCGTCGCCGTCGTCGGCCGCACTGCCCACTGCGCCCGCTCGAGACGCGCCGCCAAAGCGTCAGCCCGGCTGTCGCTATCCACGACCTGGCCCGCTTCATTCCTGAGCCCCCCCTGTAGCGGGCAAAACCCTTTCCGGAGCTTTCTGGTCTCGCCCCAATCTCCGTTCGCCGTTAGCTCCTGCAGCCGCGCGGCCCGGTCGGCAGCAACAGCCTTTTTGATATGCTTCGCTAGCTTCTTCTCTTCAGCTATGCCTCCTGTCTGTCGAGCCGCCACGCGGCGGTCTATCGGCTGCAAGGTTGAAGCGCGCGCCCAAGGCTTCCTTGGGCGTCGCGTCTGCCGGGGCAAAGCCTGCTCCGAGGCGTTGTGGAATCCGTCTGCGAGCTGGCGCCAGGCTAGGTTCACGTCGTCGTGGTCAGGCGCCCCGTCGGCGAAAGCCTCGAGCACGTTAGAAAGCTTGTCCGCGAGTCGCTGCCGGGTCATGATGTCGGCCAGCTGCGACGCGTCTGCCTCGGCGCCGCCCGCATTCGCGCGCGTCTTCTCCACCTTCGCGTGGACACGTGCCTGAAGCAAGACATGAGATGAGAGCGGCATGTCCCGGCGCACGGTCGCATTGAGCACTTTATGCAGCCAGTGCTGGGCACGCAGCATAAAATCGATCTGGGAGCGCGCGCGCCAGCCAACTGGTTCGCCGTCCAGGCGCCCCACGTTGTAGTTCGTGGCCAAATCTTGTTGTTGAGCGGAGAAGAACGCGTTAGACAGGCGCATTTTCAGCTGCGTGCACATCTTCACCAAAAGGTGCCGATTCGCGTCAGCGCGAACGACTAGTCCAGGGTGCTGGAACACGTGTTGGCCCATGATCCCAACGCCGTCGTCGAATCGATCATACGATTTGGCATTGAAGCCCCCCAGGATCAACTTCGGACCATGCGAAGATTGAGTCTGAACAACTTCCCCAATATCATGGTAAACCCTCGCCGCTCTGGATATTCAAACCCACTGTGCGGAGCGTAAACCGAGAAAATCACAGCCTTGCCCCCAGATGCGCGCAATTGCAGTGAGGACATTCGATCAGAGAACTGTCAAAATCCAACAACTGACTGTCTGAAGGCGGGGTCCATGATGAATCCCACTCTTGCCCTCTCTCCCCCTTCCGCCCCGCCAGCGCCGCCGGACAGCGCGACGAGGTACCCGGTCTCACTCAAGAACGCGTGTGACTCTGGCCTCCAAGTTTCTTGGATGCACAGGACTTTGATGCCGCAGCGTTGCATCGTGACTTCTAGTTGTACTTGTTTGGCTTATGTACATCCTTCTATGTTCCAGGATGCTCTCGTGAATTCTTCGTTTCGCACAGGACGCAAACAGCGACCTCGAATAACATGCAATGGCAGCGTGGCTTCGCCATTCCGTCGCCCTTGAACTGTTGGGAGCTGGGATGGAAGTAGAACATCTCGGCAATTAGGCGAGTGCTGCTGGTAAATACCATCGCTTCCTGGTGAAACATCCCTGCTTGCGCCCCGCTGGCCCCACTAACGGTCTCCTGTTTCGAAAATCTTTACCTTTGAACTTCCCCTTCCTGGTTCCTTTGGCGGGAGTGCGCTTCAACTTCTCCGCCAGCCTCTTCGCCAAGTCTGTGAATTCCGGGAAGTCCGCACTCGTGAGCCACTCCTCCCATCCCGGCCCATATTTGACATTGACCTCCCCCTCGTCGGTCGTCACCTTCACCGCCGTGCCCTCCCCTGCCCAGACGTTGCCGGCCTCCGGGTCTGCCCAAACGCTGTTCGAAGTGAAGCCCCAATCTTGCAAAATGTGTTTGACCCCGAAGACAAAAGAGGTGACGATGCGTTTGTGGAGCCCTTGGTCCGCTTTCGCCCACACGGAGTTGCCACCTTCCTTGAGCGGGGCCTTGCGGAACGCCTTAACGGCTTCGTCACGGTCTGCGGCGCTTGCGAACCTGGCAAACACGATGCCCCGGACCCCCCCTTTAGAGTAGATATCGATCGGCTGAGGCTTGTACCATTCGCAGAGCTTGTTCTCACTAGAGGCCTTCGCCCTCTCGATGCCCCCGGCCGTCTGGAGCCCACCGATCACTGCCGAATCGTTCTTAGACTCCTCATTCGCGTTGTTATTGAAAACTCTTGCCGTCTTCATCATCGAAATCTGCTCCTCCAGTGCTCGCGGTTGCTGCCGTACTTCCTCATCAGCCCGGGAGCTGGCGCACGAGCCTCCGGTGCTCGGCTCTCGTAGGTCGCCATGCGGATCTCGAGGCTCTCCAGGCGCTTCTCTGTCGCCTGCATCCTGGAGTCGAACGCGTCGCCCAGCTCGCCCACCTTGCGCTCGAGCCCGGACATCGCGTTCCGCAAAGGATGAACCTCGTGCTTCAGCAAATCGGCAATCTGCTGTAAGGTCGGGGCCTGCTGGTACTGAGCCTCAGGTGCTGCTCCATGCTGCTGTTGTGGAATCTCCTCTGCTTACTGATGCGCCTCCGGTGTCGTCGTAGGAGTTGCCATCGCGTGCACCTCCGGTCGGGGAGGGGAGGAGAAGAGGTCGAGATCGTCCATCATGTGGAGCGGGCTGAACAAGCGTTGGCGGACATCTCGATCGAGCACTTCCCGAACTGGGGTCCCTGGCGCACGCGTGCCGGCCATCACGAGATATGGGAAAAAGGGAACGGGAAAGGTGGCGTGGTGGAAAGAGTCAGGATAATGCTAGAGAGCCTTCCTTGCTAGGGTAATGCTTGAGCCTTCCTTGTACTTGAGCCACTGTCCTTCCTTGAGCCAAATCAAGCCCATGAGCATCAACGGAGCTTTATTGCACACGCTCCGGTCCCAAGGTCCCTCCTTGCACGTCCCTACAATAATACACAATATGGAAACGACCCTCGAAAGGCGATCGCCCCATGTGACTGACGCACAGGCGAGAGCCCCGGAGTTGAACCACCCATCCTCCTGGCAGAAGCGCCGAGAGGCCAAGTTCTACCATTCAAGGGAAGACATGTCTGACGAGAGCCGACGTAAAGATGGTCCACACCACCACACGTGTAGATGAGAGAGGCGTGCAAAGCTAATGTGCGTGACGCTGAGGCGAGGAAGGTGAGGGGGGGAATCGGAGATTTTCCGCCGACACTGTCGGCGTGTGTGAGGGGCTTGTCCGTTCGAGTCGTCGTCTCCGTCAATCGTTAGTCGTCGTTTCTGTCGTCTCCTTTCCCTGCGGCCCCCAGTTCCCTGGGCCCGTCGCCGCTTCCCCCCTTTTTCCTGGGCCCTCCTCCTCCTCAAGCGCGCCAGCCAAAGCAAAACTGAGCAAGGTCGTAATTCAGTCGAAGGGAAGCCCCTTCCCTACGATCCCTTCCCCGTCGGGGGTGGAGGTCCCGGGGGGACGGTCGCCAACCAAGTACGACTTCCCAAGGAGGGCCTCGGCTCTCAAAAAAGCGCCAGGGCGGTCCAAGAGTGCCGAAGAGGCCCCGAAGACGGTCCAAGAGGACCCCGAATCGCCGAACGATCTGTCCAAGACGCACGGCCCACGAGGCCCCCAAGATCGCCCCAAGACAGCCAAAAGTCCTTCAAGAGGTTCCCAAAATGGCCCAGGAAGGCCCTAATACGACCCGAGACGCCTCCAAGACAGGCCACGAGGCACCCAAGACGGCTTCAAGAGAGTGCCCAGACGGGGGACCCGAACGGACATCTCGAGCCCTCGCCCCCGAGAAGCTCGCAGGAGGCCCTAAGAGGCCTCCAAGGCGCCCCCAAGAAGCCCCCGGGAAGCCACTCACAGAAGGCCCCCAAGAGGCTCCCAAGGCCCCGCAGGATTCTCCCCAATTGCCCCCGAACTGCCTAACAGAGGCCCCCCAAGAATTCCCCAAGAGGCCCCCCAAGAGTCTCCCAAGAACTCCCAGAGGCCCCCCCAAGAGTCTCATTCTTCTCCTGCTCCGCCAGCTTCCATTCTCCTCGTCCTCCTACTGCTCCTTCCCAAACCGGTCCTCCCCCTGCCCCTGGTCCCCCTCCTCCTCCTCCTCCTCCGCCTCTTCCTCTTCCTCCTTCTCCTCCTCCTCCTCCTCCTCCTGCTCCACCGCGTCCTCCGCCTCCAACTCCTCCTCCCCCTCCTCCTCGTCGTCCTTGTCGTCGGTGTTCAGGGTCGGCGGCACTGGCCGGAAGGCCTTCACATGAGAGCTAGGAGGACGAAGGAGGACGCGGCGAATGAAGCAAAGAACAAAGATGATTCGGGGAGACGTAAGACCCGGGTACGGGGGTCTCGGAAATCCCCGACGAGGTCGTCAAAAAAATGACGAGGCCGAGCCTGCATTTTGACGAGGCCTCCCGCTGCAGACATCCCACAAAACTCCTCCTCGTCAAAATCCGAGTCGCGGTCGTCAAAAAACGATGGCGAACCCGAGTCCTGGCAAACCCGGGTCTTACGCTCCCCCGAATGATGACGATGAGGAGGACCAGGAGGAGGACTAGAATGAGGAGGAGGAGGGGGAGGGCGACAAGGCGATGAAGGAAGAGGCCCGAGTATTTGCCCGATCCCTTTAGGGTCTCAAGGCGAGTGAGATAGTTCCCCTCCTCCGTAGTATCCCCCACAACACGACTCAACATTGCAGATTTGAAAGGGTGGGGGGGCGAGAGGTCTGGGTATGGGGTGCAGTTCGATGGTTTCCCGGATGTTCCCTGCCCTTCTGGGATCCACATCGCCCAAGGGAACCCCAGGATGGCTCCAAGAGCGGCCGATAGGATCCAGGATGGTCGCAAGATCGCCCCGACACGGTCCAAGAGGCTCCCAAGATGGGCCCTGGAGGCCTGAAGCACCCAGCAGAAACCTTCAAAATAGACATCCATCATTGTTTGTCCATGTGTTTCCGAACGCATGTAGCACATCCCACCGGCCCTGTGGGCGTAGGTGGTTTGATGACCCCCGTTTGTCTTCTCTCTTTCCACAACCCCTCCTTCCCCTGCCGGGGGGAGAGGTTTACCCCTCCCCTGCCCCTCCCCTGGGCCTCGGAGGGGGGGTGCCGCGAGGCACTAGAGCGCCCAAGATGGCCTCCAAGATGGTTCCAAGACAGCCTTAGAGCCCAAGATGGCCTCCAATATGGCTCAAGACACCTGAAGGTGACTCAAGATAGCCTCCCACATACATCGAAGACGCCCCAGGACGGTCTCAGGATGGTTTCAAGTGCCCTCCGAGGCCAAACTGTAAGGAAATCAATGATCGTTGCGTTCTCGTTTTTTTCGCTTCTGATGGGATTCCGAAGACTCCAGATAGCTCCAAGACAGCCCAAGAGAGCCCCCAAAGGAGCCCAAGGGGGGCCCAAAAGAGCCCCAAGAGGGCCCCCAAAGCGCCCAAGAGCACCCCAAAAGCGCCCCAAGAGGCAAATGTTGAGCCTGCGAGGGCGTTGAGCCTGCGAGGGGGGGGGCCTGAATGGAGGACACCCAACCCATCCTTTTGAGCTACGGGGGCCAAGACGGCCCCAAGAGACCTCTCAGACCCGCCCGAAGGGCCCAAAGAGGGCCCCAAGACGGCCCCCAAAGAACCCCAAGAAAGCCCCAAGAGGGTCCCGAGAGGCCCGAGAACCTCTCACAACAACGCTTCAACTCGCCTGGCAAACTGGTTGGGGCCTATCGGGCCATCTTGAGACGATCACTGGCGAGTCTTGACACGTCTTGGACGCTCGGCAGACGGGAAAGGCGAATTCTTGACGCTGCGCGTATCCCCGCCCCCACCAGTCTATCTCGCCTGTGCCCCAGACGTGCTTACCCCGCTTCTTGGACTCTTCCTTGGAGCCGCCAATCAAAGAGTATCCCCACCAGCTCGCTTGACTCACGCACGCCGCGCCGCGGGCACCTGGCCTGAGGTATTCTCTGCCTTCAGCTGCTTGCTGCGCCGCCCCTCCTCCGTCCCTGGCGCCTGGTGGTATCCGTGTCGGTTTCTTTGAGCCTGGTGAGGCACCCTGGCGTCCCGGTGACTTGCCCGTCGACCAGCCCCAGCTAGCATGCTTGCGTGTTCCTGGCCCCTGGTCTTCTGAATTGCCACAGCCTGGCCGTGTTTGCAGCTGCCGCTTGCAATGGTGGGATGCGTCCCTACGTGGATTGCTCTGGAGTGGTTTAGCCTTCGTGTTCAGCTGAGATTGCCACTGTTGGCATGAGACACAGGTACGCTGGACTGCCTGCGCAGCCCCGCGCTTTGCCGCGCTCGGTGGCACGGTTACCTCTGGCGCCTGGCGCGACAGGGTACAATTCGCTCGTCTTCCTGGTGGTCTCGCCTTTGGGATGATTGCACTTCGGCCGCCTGGCACACCTGGCAGCTCCGCCTTCAGCCCCCGTAGTGTCTGTGTTTTTTCCTCTCCCGAGAAATAAGCAAGGCTAAAGGAGGAACGGGGCCCCTTTCAGGCCCTAAAGCCGCCTTCGCTCACGCGGAAGACTGGTGGAGCAGCCCTGCATGGCACTGATGCACATCGAGCCTCTTCTGGACACGAACAGCTCCTTCTTTCAACGTCTTGACTGTGGAAGACGAAGCCAAAACGCGAATAACATCGGGTACGGATAATACATCGGGAATATCTGAGATCCGGCGGCTTTCGAAGATGTCTCGGGCGCCGCGGCCTTCTCAGAGCGTTCCGGAACACTCTGAGAGCGTCCCCGAACGTTCTGGAACGGATTTATCCTCGTCCTGGCCTCGTCTGGTGTAGTAGCATGCTGGCTGTAGTCGTGGCCGTCGTCCCTACCTCCTTTTGGGAGGGAGTCCGGTCCTCGCCGCCGCCGCCGGCCTCGGCCTCGCCCTCCTTCTTCTCCGCGTTGGCCTCAGCCGACGGGGGAGGGTGGGGGGCAAGCTAGATGCGCCCGCGTCATATCTGACGTCCTACCCCTCCATCCCATCCCTCACCACGGCGAAGATCTCCTCTCTATTCGCACAGTCGGATGTCGACGAGGGCGCTGATGCGAGAGGGTGCGCGATGCATCGTACAGCACAGCAAGGCATGGCGTAGAAGAGCACGGCAGAGCGCAAAATGTCATAGCATGGCGTGGCATTGCGTAGTGTAGTGAAGTATTGCGTCACAAAGCATTGCAACGCAAAGCAACATGGCATCGCACAGCGTCGCGGAACGGAACACTGCACAGCATGTCATGGCAAGGCGCCAAATTCCTTGGAGGGTAAATGGATCGTATGGGCCGGTCTGGAGTCGCCGCTCCATGTTTAGCTCCCTCGGCTCCACGACAAGCTCCCCGCAAGGCGGGGCTGATGGAAAGCACCCGCTGGCTCTGCTTGCAACATCGCCTTCTGAAAACAGAAACGGGGTTTCCGCAAGATATATCCTCCAAACGCTGCCGCCCCGAAAGGGGGGAGCCTTCACCGGCCCAAAAACTCGACAAATCAACACCGGACGCGTAGCCTCTGCGAAATTCCCCAAACAGCTTGCTGAACGGGGTGCTGTTGTGGTAGAAACTAACTCCGGCCGTGGGAAGTCGGAGCAAAGACATCCTCACACAAATTTGATGGTCCGGGCCGTTTCGCTTGAGACATCCTCACAACTCTCGTTTCTGAGATGGCCGGGATTGGCCGTTTCGCCTGAGACATCCTCAAAAAGTTGCGCTCCGGGACGCCGCGCGAGAGGTGGTCCGGGCCGTTTCGCTTGAGACATCCTCGAAACTCTGAGCCCCGAGGTGCCGTGCGAGAGGTGGTCCGGGCCGTTTCGCCTGAGACATCCTCGAAATTCTGAGCTCTGCGATGCCTTGCGCGAGGTGGTCCGGTCGGTTTCGCCTGAGACATCCTCGAAACTCTCACTTCGGAGATGCCGCGCGCGAGGTGGTCCAGCCCGTTTCGCCTGAGACATCCTCGAACTTCTGAGCTCTGAGATGCCCTGCGCGAGGTGGTCCGGCCCGCCTCGCCTGAGACATCCTTGCAACTCTGAGCTCTGAGATGCCGTGAGCAAGGTGGTCCGGCCTGTTTCGCACAAGACATTATCGCAACTCCGAGCTCTCAGATGCTGCGCGAGAGGTGGTCCAGCCTGGGCGCCCAGAAGACCACATGTTACATATCCTCCATGGGACCCTGCGAGCCTCAGGAGGCCCCAGAAAGGTCCAGGAGGCCGCAGGACGCCCAGGACAGGCCCCAGGGGCCCCCAGGAGATTCCCAGGAGGCTCCCAGGAGGCCCCAGGAGGCCCTCTAGCAGAACGTGTCAAGTTAATACACATCCGGAGTCGATTCGTTGATTTTTCCTACTCTTGTGCCCCCCCCTCCATCTGGAGAGGCCCAAGCGGCCACAGGTTTGATATCCCCCCTGGGAGCCCCAAGAGGCTTCAGGAAACCTCAGGTGGAGTTCAGGAGGCCACAGGAGGCCTAGGAGGAAGCTCCAGGAGGTCCCCAGGAGGCACCAGGAGGCATCAGGAGGCCGCAGGACGCCCAGGACAGGCCCCAGGGGTCTCCAGGAGATTCCCAGGAGGCTCCCAGGAGGCCCCAGGAGGCCGCCTATCAGAACGTGTCAAGTTAATACACATCTGGTGCCGATTCGTTGATTTTTCCTGCTTTTGTGCCCCCCCCTCCATTTGGAGAGGCCCAAGCGGCCACAGGTTAGATATCCCGCCTGGGAGCCCCAAGAGGCTTCAGGAAGCCCCAGGTGGGGTCCAGATGGCCACAGGAGGCCCAGGAGGAAGCCCCAGGAGGTCCCCAGGAGGTCCCAGGAGGCCCCAGGAGGCCCCCGCAACTCTGAGCTCTGAGACGCCGCGCTCGAGGTGGTCTGGCCCGTTTCGCCTGAGACTTCCTCGCAGCACGTTTCGCCTGAGACATCGTCGCAACTCTGGGGTCCGAGATGCCGCGCGCGAGGTGGTCCAGCCCGTTACGCTGGAGACATCCTCGCAACTCTAGGCTCCGAGATGCCGTTCGGGATGAAGAGGAGGCGGAGGAGGAGGAGGAGGAGGAGGAGGAGGAGGAGGAGGAGGAGGAGATGGAAGAGAAGGAGGAGACGGATGATGTGCATGAGGGAGCAGGCAGGAGGAGGGGGAGGCCCCAGAGAGCTCCAGGAGGCCGCAGGACGCCCAGGACAGGCCCCAGGGGCCCCCAGGAGATTCCCAGGAGGCTCCCAGGAGGCCCCAGGAGGCCGCCTATCAGAACGTGTCAAGTTAGTACACATCCGGTGTCGATTCGTTGATTTTCCTGCTCTTGTGCCCCCCCCTCCATTGGAGAGGCCCAAACGGCCACAGGTTTGATATCCACCCTGGGAGCCCGAAGAGGCTTCAGGAAGCCCCAGGTGGAGTTCAGGAGGCCACAGGAGGCCCAGGAGGAAGCCCCAGGAGGTCCCCAGGAGGCCCCAGGAGGCACCAGGAGGCCCCCGCAACTCGGAGCTCTGAGACGCCGCGCTCGAGGTGGTCCGGCCCGTTTCGCCTGAGACTTCCTCGCGGCACGTTTGCCCGAGAAATCGTCGCAACTCTGGGGTCCGAGATGCCGCGCGCGAGGTGGTCCAGCCCGTTACGCTGGAGACATCCTCGCAACTCTAGGCTCCGAGATGCCGTTCGGGATGAAGAGGAGGTCGAGGAGGAGGAGGAGGAGGAGGAGGAGGAGGAGGAGGAGAAGGAGAAGGAGATGGAAGGGAGAAGGAGGAGGCGGATGATGTGCATGAGGGAGCAGGCAGGAGGAGGAGGAGGAGGAGGAGGAGGAGGAGGAGGAGGAGGAGGAGGAGGAGGAGGAGGAGGAGGGAGAAGGAAGGGAGTTGCAGGAGAGGACCTAACGGGAAGCGAGTGCGATGTGGACTTGTCAAAACGTGTGCGAAAGATTGTCCGGCCCGTTTCGTTTGAGACATCCTTCCAATACTGAGCTCCAAGATGTCGCTCGCGAGGTGGTCCGGCCCGTTTCGATTGAGCCATCCTCGCAATGCGAGGCTCGAAGATGTTGCGCGCGAGATGGTCTGGTCCATTATGCCTGAGACGTTTCGTAGCACAGGAGCTCCAATCACAACCTCTCTCATTCCTTCTCCCGCCTCCCTCTTCCCACTTCCCGCCTGGCTCCTCTTCCCTCCTCCCTCCTCCCGCATCCCGCCTCCCGCTGCTGCGCCTTTGCCTCCGCCTCCCCATCCCCGCCGTCGTCGTTTCTGCCGCCTCAGCATCCGTCATGCGCGCACTGCCTTCCGCCCTCCCCAGACATCCGACGTCACGATTTTTCTTTTGAGACGTGCGCCGCGTACCTCTCAATATCATCCCCGAGGGAACCATCACGACATGCCCCCCCGCTTCCGCGCCCTCCCCCGCTTCCTCTCAAAGTTGCTGCTGAGTTCACAGCATGGCGGTGGAGCCTCTCACAGTGCCGACCCGACAGCTTACTCGTCGACCAGGTGCGACCTGGGACATCCTCGCAACTCTGGGCTCCGAGACAGGGTTCCCGAAACAAGATTTTTCCCCAAACAGCTTGCTGAACGGGGTGCTGTTGTGATAGAAGCTAACTCCGGCCGAGGGAAGTCGGAGCAGAGACATCCTCACACAAATTTGATGGTCCGGGCCGTTTCGCTTGAGACATCCTCACAACTCTCGTTCTGAGATGGCCGGGATTGGCCGTTTCGCCTGAGAAATCCTCAAAAAGTTGCGCTCCGGGACGCCGCGCGAGAGGTGGTCCGGGCCGTTTCGCTTGAGACATCCTCGAAACTCTGAACCCCGAGGTGCCGTGCGAGAGGTGGTCCGGGCCGTTTCGCCTGAGACATCCTCGAAACTCTGAGCTCTGAGATGCCTTGCGCGAGGTGGTCCGGCCCGTTTCGCCTGAGACATCCTCGAAACTCTGACCTCGGAGATGCCGCGCGAGAGGTGGTCCGGCCCGTTTCGCCTGAGACATCCTCGAACTTCTGAGCTCTGAGATGCCCTGCGCGAGGTGGTCCGGCCCGTCTCGCCTGAGACATCCTTGCAACTCTGAGCTCTGAGATGCCGTGCGCAAGGTGGTCCGGCCTGTTTCGCACGAGACATTCTCGCAACTCCGAGCTCCCAGATGCCGCGCAAGAGGTGGTCCAGCCTGGGGGCCCAGAAGACCACATGTTACATATCCTCCCTGGGAGCCCCAGGAGGCCTGCTCTTGTGCCCCCCCCCATTTAGGGGGGCCCCGACGGCCACATGTTAGATATCCCCCCCTGGGAGCCCCAAGAGGCTTCAGGAAGCCCCAGGTGGGGTCCAGGAGGCCACAGGAGGCCCAGGAGGAAGCCCCAGCAGGTCCCCAGGAGGCCCCAGGAGGCACCAGGAGGCCCACGCAACTCGGAGCTCTGAGACGCCGCGCTCGAGGTGGTCCGGCCCGTTTCGCCTGAGACTTCCTCGCAGCACGTTTCGCCCGAGACATCGTCGCAACTCTGGGGTCCGAGATGCCGCGCGCGAGGTGGTCCAGCCCGTTACGCTGGAGACATCCTCGCAACTCTAGGCTCCGGGATGCCCTGCGCGAGGTGGTCCAGCCCATCTCGCCTGAGACATCCTCGCAACTCTGAGCTCTGAGATGCCGTGCGCAAGGTGGTCAGGCCCGTTTCGCACAAGACATTCTCGCAACTCTGAGCACTCAGATGCTGCGCGAGAGGTGGTCCAGCCTGGGGGCCCAGAAGACCACATGTTACATATCCTCCCTGGGACCCTGCGAGCCTCAGGAGGCCCCAGAGCGGTCCAGGAGGCCGCAGGACGCCTAGGACAAGCCCCAGGGGTCCGCAGGCGCTTCCCAGGAGGCTCCCAGGAGGCCCCAGGAGGCCCCCTATCAGCACGTGTCAAGTTAATACACATCCGGTGTCGATTCGTTGATTTTCCTGCTCTTGTGCCCCCCCCTCCATTCCGGGGGGTCCCGACGGCCGCATGTTAGATATCCCCCCTGGGAGCCCCAAGAGGCTTCAGGAAGCCCCAGGTGGGGTCCAGGAGGCCACAGGAGGCCCAGGTCACCAGGAAATCCCAGGAGGCCCCCGCAACTCGGAGCTCTGAGACGCCGCGCTCGAGGTGGTCTGGCCCGTTTCGCCTGAGACTTCCTCGCAGCACGTTTCGCCTGAGACATCGTCGCAACTCTGGGGTCCGAGATGCCGCGCGCGAGGTGGTCCAGCCCGTTACGCTGGAGACATCCTCGCAACTCTAGGCTCCGAGATGCCCTGCGCGAGGTGGTCCAGCCCATCTCGCCTGAGACATCCTCGCAACTCTGAGCTCTGAGATGCCGTGCGCAAGGTGGTCTGGCCCGTTTCGCACAAGACATTCTCGCAACTCTGAGCACTCAGATGCTGCGCGAGAGGTGGTCCAGCCTGGGGGCCCAGAAGACCACATGTTACATATCCTCCCTGGGACCCTGCGAGCCTCAGGAGGCCCCAGAGCGGTCCAGGAGGCCGCAGGACGCCTAGGACAAGCCCCAGGGGTCCGCAGGAGATTCCCAGGAGGCTCCCAGGAGGCCCCCTATCAGAACGTGTCAAGTTAATACACATCCGGTGCCGATTCGTTGATTTTTCCTGCTCTTGTGCCCCCCCCCCCCCACTTTGCGGGGCCCCGACGGCCACATGTTGGATATCCCCCCCTGGGAGCCCCAAGAGGCTTCAGGAAGCCCCAGGTGGGGTCCAGGAGGCCACAGGAGGCCCAGGAGGAAGCCCCAGGAGGTCACCAGGAGGCCCCAGGAGGCCCCAGGAGGCCCACGCAACTTGGAGCTCTGAGACGCCGCGCTCGAGGTGGTCCGGCCCGTTTCGCCTGAGACTTCCTCGCAGCACGTTTCGCCCGAGACATCGTCGCAACTCTGGGGTCCGAAATGCTGCAGCGCAACGTGGTCCAGCCCGTTACGCTGGAGACATCCTCGCAATTCTTGACGCTTCGCTTGCGACGCTTCGGCTGGCGCCTCTTCAGATTTCGCGCCATTTTGGCAGCGCGTGTCAGGTTTGGCTAATTTGGTGCTCCCTGGGTTTCCCTGGGTCACCTTGCAGCTCTGCCCTGGGTTCAGCTCTCCCTGGGATCTGCCTCACCCTCGCCGCAGTTGTTGCTTGCTGCATCCGGCGCCGCCGCGGCCGCCTAGTCGCGCGCGTTAGCCGTCGGTAATTTAAGCCGGTCGCGGCCGCTGGCGCGTTCGCCTGCGGCCGTAAAAAAAAGTATCCCCACCAGCCCATCCAGAAACGATGTCCAGGCAAGTTGAAGATATCAGGAAAGTGGAGGAGCAACGAGAGGGACAGCGGATCCGTGCAAAGGATGAGGCGGAAGAGGAGGCCAGATGGATAGATGAGGGGGTGGCGAGGAACCGAGCGAAGGAGGGATGAGGAGAATGATGATGCTGGGTGGATGGTTGAATGCCGCTCGGATGCCTCTTGGAAGCCTTTTGGAAGCCTCTTCGGGCGTCTTGGGGGTCTCTTGGCGGTCAATGGGGGCTCTTGGGCGTCTTGGGTGCTTCGGGGGGGCCTCTTGAGGCCGCTTGGGATCCTCTTGGGGGGCTCTTGGGGGCCTGTTGGAGACCTCTTGGGGCCTCTCGGGGGTCTCTTGGAGCTTCATGGCGGCCTCTTGGAGCCTCTTGGAGGCCTCTTGGAACCATCCTGGGAGCCCCTTGGAGCCTCTTGGGGGCTTCTTGGGGCCTCATGGCGGCCCCTTGGGGCCTCTTGGAAGCCTTTTGTTGGGGCCTCCTGGGCGCCTCTTGGGGCCATCTTGGAGGAGATCGATCAAAGAAGAGGGTGGGGTCAATTAGCACTGCCGCCCCAAAAGGCCAAAATGGGGCCAAAACCCTAGTAAAACCAATGATTTTGGTTTCCTCGCCGAGGCCGTTTTGGACGCTCCAACTACCAGCGACCCCCCCCGTCCAGGTCCAGGGGAGGGGGTAGGGGGAGGGGTAAACCCCTCCCCAAGGGGGAAGAGGGAGGGGTGGAAGAGGATCTGTTCTAGACCACCTACGCCCAGAGGGCTGGTGGGACTCTGGGCTCCGAGATGCCGTTCGGGATGAGGAGGAGGTGGTGGAGGAGGAGGAGGAGGAGGCATGTTTTAACATGCCATGCCAGCGGGCACTGGACGGGCACGCAATCGCCCTTGGAAACCGCAATGGGTCTAAAAACCCTGTTTGGGGATACTGCACTCCGGCTATAGTTTTTTTGTTGGGAAAATGTTTTAGATTTGGGGCCTACTTGGCAAAACCGAAAACGCCCACGTTGCAGCGGGAGCACGTTTCGGAACTACCAGAGGCGCAGAAATGGGGCCAACGTTGCAGGGGGAACACCACATTTGAAAGGACCGTGCCAAGAACACACATGAAAACTGGAAATGAGGCCAGCGTTGCAGGGGGAACACGATTCGGGGGAGGGGGGGGGAGGGGGAGGGGGTAGAGGGGGGGAGGGGAATCGAGGGGGAGTGGGGGGAGGGTGGGGGACAAACTAGATGCGCTCGCGTCATATCTGACGTCCTAACCCTCCCTCCCATACCTTACGTTTGCGTCTATGTCCTTTTTTTATTCACACAACCGAACGTCTTACTAGAGCGTAGCATCACATGGTATAACATGGTGTTGAATATCAACGCGTACTCTCACATAGCATGGCGTGGCGACGCCGCAAAATGGGGGGGGCTTCTGCGATCCAAAAAACCAACGAAGCGGCACCGGATGTGGAATCGCTTCCGGTGGCTTTTTCGGGGGGGCATTTTCTATTTGTTTGGGGCAGATTTGGAAGGACAGAAAACCATGCCGTGGCATGGCACTGGGAATAACGACGCCAATGCTGCAGCGGGAGCACGGTTCGGAACGAGCGGAAACGCGGAAATGTGGCCAACGCTACAGCGGGAGCATGAGTCGGAAGACGCGTAACCTGACATAGTATGGCGTGGCGACGCCCCAATGGAGGGGGGGCTTCTGCAATTCCAAAAAATCAACGAGTCGACACCGAATGTGCATTCACTTCCGATAGTGTTTCTTCTTTCGGGGGGGGGGAAGTTTCTACATGCTGGGGCAGATCTGGACGGACCGAAAACCACGCCGTGGCAGAAGGGGGGATGGGGAGGGGGGGCCTCGCACGCCTGGCACAGGACGACAAGTGCTCGCCGCGTACGCGCAAGGCCCTGCGACGCCACGAACCAATCGAAGACCGAAGCAAGTCGGGACCCAAGGCCCGACGACCACTCCGCAATGACATTCTGGCCTGCTGAGTTCCTGCAAGGTCGCTGGCCCCAGGTTGAAGTCCGCCTGCAGGCGCCGCGACGTGCACCCAGCCGCCGCGGTGAGCTGCGCCGCCGCTCGCAGCAGGTCGAGGTCGGCCCGACGGCGTGCTCGAAGTAGGCCGAGGCGACCGCGAACTCCAGGCCCGACGGCGTCATCACTTCCACTCCCAGCAGTCGGTGAGAGAGGCCTGCGGGCACCGTCCAAGGAACCTCTCTCGCTGTCAGGTCCTTGCGCACTAGGGCGGACTCCCTCCGGCGCGCAGCTGGCCCTGGTGCCCACCGTGGTCTTCGCGGCGTGATGGATGGCAGCGTGCCCATTAGGGCCCAGGGTTCCAGCGGTGCCTGACGCGGAGGCCAAGTTGCTCGGCGGCAGAAATCTGGCCTCCTGGAGGGTCACGACGCGCGGCAAGGCACTCACCAGGCGGGCGTAGCCCTGCGCCCGATGATGGCGCCAGCCGTCGCTACTCCCCAAACTCCCCCTGCCAGCTGGCCTGGCCCGCCCCGCTTCGGCCCCCTGCCGCCGCCGAGGGCAGGTGCTGCGACGACGTGGGGCTGAACCCCGCCGCGCCCACCCTCTGCCTGGCCGCGGGGTGGCCGCGGCTGCGCTCCTGGCCGCGCCGGCGGGCTTATGCTGGGCAGCGCGCTGTCGGCCGGGGCGCGCTCGCCTCGTGGGCCCGACTGTCCTCGGGGCGGGCCCGCCTGGCCGAGTCGCCGCAGCCTCGCGAGGTGGCCCTCCTGGCCGATCCTCCTCAGGCCGCGGCTGCCGACCCGGGCGCTGCTGCCTCGAGGGTCTGGCTGGCATCGGGGCTGGCCCATCTGGCCCGGGCCCCTCAGCCCTGCGGGGTGGCCCGCCTGGCCAACCTCCGCCGCGCCCTCCCAGTCGGGCAAAGCACCGTCGCCTCGCGGGCCCGACAGGCCGAGCAGCAGGCCCACCTTGCCGCCGCACCTCGGCGCTGGGAGGGATCACTCAGGGTTGACCTCGGAGTCAAAGGCCTGGCTGCCGCGCTGCTGAGGCTCCGGCAGCGCCGCCAACGCCGCGCTCGCCGACGGGAGCAGGCCGCACAAGGGCCCTCTCAACATCCGACACACGGCGCCCGGCAGCCTCAGAGACGCACGGCAACGGGCCCGCGGCAGCCCCAAACCGCTCACCCTGACCACGCATGGCCCCGGGCTGGGCTGGCCAAGCCAGTCGGACCTTGGCCTTGTCGGCGGCTGAGGCGACGGGGGCCTCGTCGGCGCCGATCTCCAGCTCGTCATCGATGGGGCAGTTCTCCGCTCATGGCTCGCACGTCGGCGCGCTGGCCAGAGCGAGCTGCGCCGCCAAGGCCGACATCTGCCTCTCGACCTCCGACCACGCGCACTCGACGTTGCCAGCGCGACGCGCTGCCTGCAGGCTGCGGAGCTGCGTGAGGAGCCCCGGCACATGGCGGCGCTCAGCGAGCTCCGCCGCCTGGCGCAGCCGCTAGGCCTCCGCTGCTACCTGGACCTCTGCTTCCAAGCGGCGGAAGGCCTCCTCATCCGCCTCCAGCTCGGCGTCGAAGGCGGCGAGCTGCTCGACGAGTTCCTCGCGCGCCTCACGCTTGGCCTCGAGGGCCTTGCGGGCCCTGCCAAGGCGCTTCTCTGCCTCCCCGCGCATACGCGCGGAACGCGGCAGCTCGACAGCCTTGGAGACCTCCGCCGCAGCACTGGCCTCCTCCAGCTCGCCTCGCGTGCGTGCCAGCTGGGCCTCGATGTCTCCGCGACGAAGATGCCAGACACCCCCAGCGGGGGATGATCACGTAGGTCCTCGAGGCGCGCGATGGAGCCCAGGATGCCCTGGAACTCGCTGGCTGGCCCGCTGCTGCCGCTCTCTGGGCTCTTGGCCCCCCTCTTGGACGTCCCGACAGAGCTGCGGCCGCTGTTCCCTGACGCCGCGCGCGCAACCCTCCGCGCTTTGCGCTGAGCCTGGCGCCCACGGGGCTGCACGATCCAGCCGTTTTCATCGGCGGCGCCGTCTGCCTTGGGCTCACCCTTGGCCGCAGGCGCTGGCGACCTCGAACGCATCCTGGCCCACGGGGGGGCCTTCGCACCACAACCGTAGCACTGGCCCTTCGGCGCCCAGGTCCAGGTTCGCCACGAGCCCGAGCTGTTCTACCAGTGGCTCCCGCTCGGCGGCGCAGGCGGCGCCCCAGGGGAGCGCACCATGGGCACACCTCCAAGCGAGGACAAGTAGTGCACCGCTGCTCTCGGCGAACCTCTGGGCAAGAATCGGAGGTTAGCCTCGGACCAGAAGTAGCCGCTCTCCGTCCGAGGAGCAGAAACATCTTGACCACAATGGCTACGAATACATACTATGCTAGACTGCCGTGTTCCCGTGGTCTGCCGTGCGGGTCTGCCATGGTGACGTGGTTTGCGAGGCTGGTCCTCCGTGCTCCTGTGGTCTCCCACTCTGGTCGGCCATGCTGCTGTGGTCTGCCGTGTTCCTGTGGGCGCGGATCCTCCAATACCCCATTTCGGGGATGATGTCTCGGGCAAATATCTTGTGCTTGTATGAATCGATGCCGTTCAATTCTTTGTTTTTGATGTCCCGAGCGAGGGTCAGGCTGTCGCTCGTCTTGACGGGCGCTCTCGGGGTATTCCTGGAGCGTGGGTTTGGCTCTTGTGGGCCGCAGTGGCGCTTTTTAAAATGAGCCCAAAGCGATCTTACCAGCATCGCCTGCTTGACACTAGCAGAGTTGCCGTTTTGGGAAGCCTGGCTTAGGCCGTCGCGGGGCCTTTTCACGAGCGATGCATGTCTTCATACTCTCGAGGATGTCCCTAGCGAAATCGCTGTGTTAGGAGGTCCCCAGGGCGGTCTCGGAGCCATACTGGGACCCTCCTTGGGCCATTGCATCTTCGCCTTCAAACACTACTACACAAACGATGTCAAGACGATATTGGTAGCACATCATGGTTGTGAGGATATCCCAAACGAAATGGGCACGTTTAGAACCGACGTCAAACCATACAGCAATGTTGGTCTGCTGTGCTTGCTGATTCGGTAACGATGCCTCGGGCGAAAGCGTCTTTCTCAACATGAGAGGCGGTAGAGCAGTTCTGTCGACATTCGACTTGTTCGAGGATGCCTCAGGCGAAACGCCCATTCTCACAGAACAAGCAAAAAGTGAAAGTAATTACCCAAGGAGGATGTTTCGAGCGAAACGCTTGTTTCTGCACACGACTACGTTGCAAACAACTCACGTTTGGGAGAATGTCTCGGACGAAATGCTCCAACAATAATCCCGCAACAAATTACCCCGTGCAATCGGCCACGGTATATACCTAAATACTTTGATACACGTCACAGATTCAGCCAAAACGCTTCCCGTCATCCGCCGATCCCTCGGGGTGTACGGCGCATGAGACTGCTGTCCTCCCCCGACCCCCCCCGGGGCAAGGCCCGCCCGGCTGTTTTGGAGGGGGAAGGTGCATGCGAAATGTGCCGGCGGCCCTGGGCGCCTCAGAGATGGTTGGGCGGCCTGCATGGCAAGCCTCTCAAGGGCTCCTCGACTATCCCCGATGGCACCCAGTCGTCCAGATATGGCTTCAAGACAGCCCTGATGAGAGCCTCCAAGACGCCACCCGAGGGCTCCACGAGGACCTCCCGCGCGGGCCCAAGCAAGCCAAACTTGGCGCAGTCCCCCCAGGGAGGAAAAAAACACGTTTAGCAATCTCGTTCAAACGACTTGCGAGCGACCCGACGCGGGCCGCGAGGCCTCCAGGAGAGCACAACGAAGGGCCTGCCCCGGGCTGCCCAAGAGACCCCAAAGACAGCCCAAAATGACTCCGAGACGAGCCCACCCAAGACCGCCCGCGATGGCCCCAATACGGCCCAACACGGGCCCCACCCAACCCAAGGCGGCCCGAATGCGGCCCGCAATGCGCCGCAGACTGGCCAGGAGGGCCCCTGGGGGCCACGTAGACGCTGTAAGACGGCCCCAAAGAGGAGCCCTCACGAGAGCCCCCGCCCTTCAGACCGCGCTTCCTTGTAAGTACTGCGCCCTGCGAACAGTGCTTGGGCGCCTGTCTTCCGAAACATCATAAGCCTGTGGACTCATGTGCGCCGAAGAGAAGCACTATTTACGTCGAGCTCCACTTCTTCACCGCTGACTCCCACGAAGCCGCTGCTCTGTCGTCTCGACAGAATAATGCAGGCAATGCCTCCCGCGAGCTAGCCACAGACAGACAACTGCGCATGCCCATGCTGCTCCAAGGTTGTCCCAGGCGCCCGCGCCCGCGTGGCCTGAATGGCGGTTTGAAAACAAATCCGACCGGCTCGAAAGCCGAACCCACACAAGGTCCTCATCTGAGCGTCGTGCGATTTTGCCGAATGAGCAACGTGCGTCTCGTCCTGAGACTTTGAATTAATAGCTTCTGTCCAGCCATGGCGAAAACTGCGGCGTTGAAGACCCGAAATCCGATACCATGTCTTACATATGTGTGCCTGTTCTTAGTGTTGATATGGTGCATCGCAAAGCTTCTGGTCGACGTGGCTGTATGTTTCTTTGAACTTCTGGCTTGGAGGGCAACGTCTGGGGAGGGGGGAGAGGAGAAAAAGAGGATGATAGGGGGAAGCGAGGAGGCGAAGAGGTGCAGGATGATCGGGGGCAGAGAACGCGTGCATTCGTTTCACATGGTACTGTCTGCCCCGCACCTTCCTCTTCCTCCCGAACCGCATTGAAAACGCACGCGCAAATCATAGAGGGCAGCGTCCGTGTATTTCCCAGTCTCCCCTGGCCTTCGGCGGGCGCTTGCAGTTCTCGAAAAACTTGACGAACTCGGCCTCGCAGACCTTGCCGTCCTTATCGGCGTCGAAGAGCTCAAACAGCTGCTCCTTGCTGAGCTTCTCCTCCCGCTGGTGGAACCTCATGATGGCGAGAGCACGGCCCTCGACCACAGCGAGCTCGGCCAGCTCCTTCCTCTTGGCAATGTCGCGCATCTTGGCCGCAGTGGCCGTCACCTTGCTCACCCTCGCGTCCCAGGTCTTCATCTTCGCCTCCAGCACCCGGAGCTCGCCAGTCGCCCACGCTTTGATGTCGTCCTCGATGCCCTCCGCCAGGCTCTTCATGGCCCCCCTCGTCTTCTCGACGTCCTCCTTCGCCTCCGCGACCAGCTTGTCCAAGTCGTCTGCCTCTCCCGCCATGCCCGAGGCCTCCGTCTTCGAAGCCTTGCCGAATGCCGCCGCTGCCGCCGAGTCCGCCTTCTTGACGAGCTCCTCCGAAGCAAGGATCGCCTCCAGCGCTTTGGCGATCTGCTCTCTGGCCTCTTTCTTCATCCCCTCGAGCACTGCCTCCTTCTCCAGTCGCTCCTTCCTCCGCTCCTCGTCCTTTTCCTTCTCGCGGGCACAGCCGATCATCACCTTGAGCCTCTGGAAATCCGCCGACCGACCCTGTCGGCGTGTGTGAATGGCACGCTGTTCGAGTCGTCGTCTCCCCCAGCCGTCGCCTCCGTCGCCCCCTTTCCCTGCGCCCTCCTCTTCAAGCTTGTCAGAGCGAGAAAGATCTAGCCATGTCGCAATAGAATCGAAGGGGACCCCCTTCCCTTCGATCCCTTCCCCGGCCCCGGGGGGGCGGGCCCAGTGGGCCAGAGGGGGGTTGCCCGGGGGGGTCGCCACGCAGATGCGCTTTACCCCCCTTGGGGCCCTGGGGCCTCCAAAAGTAACAAGACAGGCCAAGAGTCTCCCAAGAGGCCACCAAGACGGTCCAAGAGGGCCCCAAATCGCCAAACGATCGGTCCAAGACGCCCTCACGCCTTACAGACTGCCCAGGAGGCCTCCAGGACGTCATAAAACGCCTCAAGAGCACTCCCGAGAGGGCCCCAAGAGGCAACATTCATTAATGTGCCGCTGGTTGCTTTAAGATTTGGGCGTTCCCGCCTTTTCCACTTCTCGCCGCTCCCAATCGGCGCCGCAGGCCCGCAAAATCTCCCCTAAGACGGCCCAGGGGGCTTCCAAAAAGAGTCCAAAACAGCACGAGATGACCCCAAAACAACCCCGAACGTCTCCAAGACGGCCCCTGATGCCCCCAAGACGGCTCCAACAGCCCCCAGTGGACATTTCGAGCCATCGGCCCCAAGAGGCCCCCAGGAGGCCCCAAGAGGCCCCCCAGAGGCCCAGGAGGCCCACGACCGGGCGTTGGCAAAACTGGGTTTAGTGGGACCTGGTTGAATAATGTGCACTGGGGGGCGCCCCCCCCGCCCCGTTCCATTAACCGGAACTGCCGTCGCCCGAAAAACACCAGCTACAACAGACCTGGTTTAGTGATTCTGGCCAATTTAGGTGCTCCAGGGCCCTGCTACTAACCGGGTCCCCTTATCTGGGGCCCTGCCTATACCCGACACGAGAGAGGTTCCCAGGAAGCCCGAAGAAGCCCCCAAGAGGCTCCCACAATTCCTCCCCAGAGGCCCCCGAGAGACTTTCAACGAGACCCCAAAAACCATCCCTGAGGACTCTGGCCCACGTCAGCGTCGTCGTCGTTGCCGCTGCCGCCGACGTTGGCGTCGTCGTCGTCGTCGTCGTCGTCGTCGTCGTCGCGGTCGTCGTCGTCGTCGTCGCCGTCTCCCTTCAGGGTCGGCGGCGCTGACCGTAAGGCATCGGCAATCATCCTTCTTCACGCCTTTCTCTGCGCCGAGGAGGGCGAACATCTGCTTGAGGGCCGCGTCGCTCAGCGTGAATTTGAAGGTGGTCCTCGCGTAAGACTTGACCTCGCCCTTGCTCATGAAGCCATCCTTTGCCTTGTTGAACTTGGCAAAAGTGGCGGACATGGCCTCCATCATCTTCGTTGCCCTGGCCTTCTTCGCCATCTTGGCCAACGTGGCCTCCGCGCGGCGGAAGCCCGGGAATCGCCCCGAGGGCCTGGGCCCCCAATGCGATATGACAGCTCGCCCCTGAGGCGCAGAGGTGCCCTCCTCCTCCTCCTCCCTCCAACTCCTCCTCCTCCCTCCTCCTCCTCCTCCTCCTCCTCCTCCTCCTCCTCCTCCTCCTCCTCCTCCTCCTCCTCCTCCTCCTCCTCCTCCTCCTCCTCCTCCTCCTCCTCCTCCTCCTCCTCCTCCTCCTCCTCCTTCTCCTTCCCCCTCAGCGTCCCCCTCCTGTTCCTGCTGCCCTCATCCTCTCTTTCTCCAACTCATTATCATTATCCTTGTCCTCCTTCTCCTCATTTTTCTCACTCTTCCTCCTTCTCATGTCCTCCTCTCCTCCTCCTCTCCTCCTCTCCTCCTCCTCCTCCCCTCCTCCCTCTCACTGTCCTCCTCCTCATCCTTGTCCTCCTCCTCCTCCTCCTCCTCCTCCTCCTCCTCCTCCCCCGTCGTCCTTCAGCACGACTGCAGGATCTTGCGTGCGTTCTTGAGCGATTGCGCGAGATGAAAGAAAACGGCTCGGGGCATCAGTGCCTGGCGGGCGCCGAGACCGGTGCGGGAGTTCCGACGACCCCCCCTTGAAACCTTCCTGAGGAGGGTTTTAGGAAGGTTTTTGGAAGGTTTTCCCGGGGGGTGGGCGAGGAAGGTTCCAGGAAGGTTGGTTTGTAAAACCTTCGAAAAAACCTTACAACAAAAAAACCTTCCAGACACCTTCCAAACACCTTCCAAAAACCTTCCCCAAAAAAACCTTTCAAGCATCTCCCAAAAACCTTCCAAACACCTTCCTGACAGAAACGAAACCGCCCAGTGAATTCCAGAAACCTTCCAAAAACCTTTCGCGAAAACCTTCCAAAAACATTCCAAAACAACCTTCCCAAAAAACCTGCCGAAAACCTTCCAAAAACCTTCAACTAAAACCGTCATAAAACCGTCATAAAACCTTTTTAAAACAAGAGAAACTTCCAAACACCTTTCTAAAACCTCCCTCCGGAAGGTTTCAGGAGGGATTGGCCCAAAAGCCTCCCAAAAACCTCCCAGAGGAAGGTTTTAGGACGGTTTTTCTTTGTTGAGAAAATTCCAGGAATCCTGGAACCTTCCTGAGCAAGGTTTTAGATAAGTTCCAGGAAGGCTTTTCCCAAACACCTTCCTGGAACCTGCCTATAACCTTCCTCAGGAAGGTTTCTGGAAGGTTTTTTGGAACAACCTTCGTGGACCCTCCCTAAAAGCTCCCCCATGATTTTTTTTATAAAAAATCAAGACCTGTTGGGAAAAACCTTCTTGAAACCTTCCTAAAACCTTTGTCAGGAAGTGGTTTGGAAGATGTCTGGAAAAACCTTCCTGCTACCTTCCTAAAACCTCCGCCAGGAAGGTTGTTTGGAAGGTTTTGGGGAACCCTTCCTGGGACCTCCCAAAAACTTCCCCCAGGAAGGTTTTTTGTTGTAAGGTTTTTTGGGAAAAAGAACCGTCCTGAAACTGCCCTAAAACCTTATTCAAAAAGGTTGCTGGAAGTTGATATATATATATATATATGTATATATATATATATATATATATATATATATATATATATATATATGTATACATATATATATATATACACATATAACCTTCATGAAACCTTCCCGAGACCTTCCTCGGGAAGGCTGGCAGGTTGTTGGCAGGTTTTTTGGAGCAACCTTCCTGGCATCGTTCTAAAACCTTCCTCAGGAAGGTTGTTGGACATTTTTTTGAATAAAAAACCTTCCCGAAACCTTCCTTAGGAAGGTTGTTGGAAAACACCTTCCTGAAACCTTCCTAAAACCTTCCTCATGAAGGTTTGTTGGAAGGTTTTTCTGGGAAAAAAACCCTGACACCTTCCTAAAACCTTCCGCGGGAAGGTTTTTGACAGGTTTTTGGGACAGGCCTTCCTGGAACCTGCCTAGCACCTCCCCCAGGGAGGTGCTTGGATGGTTTTTGGAAGGTCGTTGGGAAAAAACCTTCCTGACACCTTCCTAACACCTTCCCCAGCAAGGTTTTTGGAAGGAAGACCTTCCTGACACCTTCCCAAAACCTTACTCAGGAAAATGCTTGGAAGGGTTTTTCGGAAACCTTCCTGGAACCTTCTTGAAACCTGCCTCAGGAAGGTTTCCGGAAGGTTGTTGGGAAAACCCCCATGAGACCATCGTAAAACCTTCCTCAGGAAGGTTTTTGGAAGGTGTTTGGAAAACGACCTTCCTGAAACCCTTCTAAAACCTCCCCCTGGGAAGTTTTTGGAAGGTTGTTGTAAGGGTTTTGGAGAAACCTTCCTGGAACCTTCCTAGAACCTTCCCCAGGAAGGTTTGGTTTCAGGAAGGATTGCGCAAGGTGTTTGGGGAAAACCTCCCTGGAACCTTCCCAAAACCTTCCTCAGAGAGGTTTTTGGAAACGACCTTCCTGAAACCTGCCTAAAGCCTTCCTCAGGAAGGTTTGTTGTAGAAGGCTTTGGGGGGGGGGGGGGGGGGAAAAAAACCTTCTGAAACCTTCCTAAAACCTTCCTCAGCAAGGTTTTTGGAAGGTGTTTGGAACAAACCTTCCTGGAACCTTCCGAAAACCTTCCTCGGGAAGGTTGTTGGAAGGTTTTTGGAGAACCTTCCTGAATCCTTCCTAAAACCTCCCTCAAGAGGATGTTTGGAAGGTTGTTGGAAAAAAACCTCCCTGAAACCTTCCTAAAACCTTCTCCAGGCAGGTTTTGTGGAAGGTTGTTGTAAGGTGTCTGGAAAAACGTGTCTGAAACCATCCTAAAACCTTCCTCATGAAGGTTTTTTTTCAAAAGTTTTTTGGGGACGCAGAAACCTCCCTGAAACCTTCCTAAAACCTTCCACGGGCAGGTTTGTCTTGGAAGGTGTTTGGAAGGTGTCCGGGAAAAACCTTATTGCAACCTTCCTAAAACCTTCCAGGTGTTACGAAGATGGAAAGAAGGTGTTCTTAAGAGTTGTCCCAAGAACCTTGCAAACACTTTGCAAAACCCACCCTGAGGGAGGTTTTAGGAAGGTAGCAGGAAGGTCTGTTTCCAAACACCTTCCGAAAACCTCCCTTAGGAAGGTTCAGGAAGGTTCCAGACAGGCTTGCTCCAAAAACCAATCCAAACACCTGCCAACAACCTTCCTGAGGAAGGTTCTGGGAAGGCTTTTTTCCAAACGCACTCCGGATGCATTCGAAACACCTGCCTGGTGCCTTCCTGAGAGAAGCTTTAGGTAGGTCCCAGGAAAGTGTTCCATAAACCTTCCGAAGACCTGCCTAAAACATACCGGCAACTGTTCAAGCCCCCCCCCCCCGAGGAAGGTTGTAGGAAGGTTTTAGGCAGGTTGTTTCCATTAGCCTTCAAAAAACCTTTTGGGAACCTCCCTGAGGAAGGTTTTAGGAAGGTTTCAAAAAGGGCTTATCCAAAAAAAACGTCCTAAAACCATTCAAAAACCTTCCTGGGGATTGGTTTTGGGAAGGTGCCAAGAAGGTTTTCCACCAAAAGGAACAAAAGCATACAGGAACTTTCCAAGAACCTTCCAGAGGAAGGTTTTGGAAAAGTCCCGGGGAAGATTTGAGAAGGTTCCAGGAAGGTCGTTCCCACAACCTTCCGAAAACCTTACAACAACAAAAAAAATCCGGAGGGAGGTTTCAAGGAGGTTCTTCCTGAAACCTTCCTAAAACCTTCCGCATGAAGGTTTTTGGCGGGTTTTTGGCGGAAGCCTCCCTGGAACCTTCCTAAAACCTCCCTCAGGAAGGTTGTTGGAAGCTCCTTGGGAAAAACCTTCCTGGACCCCCCCTAAAACCTTCCCCAGGAAGGTGTTTGGAGAGTTGTCGGAAGGTTTTGGGACAAACCCTCTTGAAACCTTCCTCAGGAAGGTTTTTGGAAGGTTTTCAAACAAAAACCTTCCTGAAGCCTTCCTTAGCCCTTCCTCGGGATGGTTTTTTTGGAGTGAAAACCTTCCTGAAACCTTCCTAAAACCCTCCTCGGGAAGGTTTCCGGACGGTTTTTGGAACGTTTTTGGAAACGGTCCTTCCTGAAACCTTCCTGGGGGAAGTTTTTGGAAGAAACAACTGACCTGACACCTTCCTAAAACCTTCCGCATCCTGAAACCTTCCTGAAACCTCCCCCAAGAAGGTTTCGGGAAGGTTTTTGGAAACTTGTTCTTGGGGAGGGGGGGGAGGCCATCCTGAAACCTTTCTGAAACCGTCCTCAGGGAAGTTTCTGGGCGGTTTTCGGAAGGTTCTTGGACAAACCTTGCCGGAACCTTCCTAAAACCGTCCTCGAGAGGGTTTTTGGGAAGTTTGTTATGTTGAGAAAAAAAACACCCCCTTGAAACCTTCTTAAAACCGTCCCCAGAAAAGGTTTTGTTCGAAAAGGTTTTTGGACAACAACCTTCCTGAAACCTCCCCCAGGAAGGTCGTTGGAAGTCTTGTGGAAACAACCGCCCTGAAACCATCCTATAAAACCTCCCTCAGGAAGGTTGCGGAAGGTGTTTGGAAGGTTTTTGGAGCACCCCCCTGACACCTTCCTAAAGTCTTCCTCAGGAAGGTTTCCCGGCGGTGTTTGGAAGGCGTTGGGAAAACCATCCCGCAACCTTCCTGCAACCTCCCACAGAAAATTGCTCGGGACTCGTTGGGAAAACCTTCCTGAAACCGATTCCTTGGGAAGGTTGTTCGAAGGTTTTTTGGGGGAAAAAACTTACCTTCCTAAAACTTGCCGCAGGAGGGTTTTTGAAAGGTTGTTGGAAAAAAAACCTGCCTGGAACCTTCCTACAAGATGTTGGAAGGTTCCTTGAGCGTCTTTGTTTGGAGAAACCTCCCTGAAACCTTCCTCAGGAAGGTCCTTGGCAGGTGTTTGGGGAAAGCCTCCCTGGGACCTTCCTAAAACCTTCCTCGGGGCCTTCCTGGGAACTTCCTGCAACTTTCCCCAGAAAAGGTTTTTGTTCTGGAAAGTTGTATGGGAAAACCTTCCTGCAACCTAT